GCTAATATCTGGTTCAGAATAAACCTTGTTTTGTCAATTTAAACTGTAGAAAACCAACTTTTCTTAATTTTAACAACTCCTACACATAACAGCATCTAGTCTACACAAAACTGCTGTGATAACCCTTTCAATTGTCACTTTCTTAATCTTTGTAGTGACTCATCACAGCCAGAAAGTGGCTCCTACGCCATCTAAACTGCAGCTGTTTAAGAGCTTAATAAAATTCGACCCACTTAAGCTCTGGTTCTGTGTATAAAAAATCAGGGCTATTAAAACACTAAACAGAAACATTTCATTATTAATGGTATTAACACTGTTGTCCATTTAAATGGTCCATCAGCACATCTAGTAGAAGTTGTTTTAAAAATGTATTTAAAATACAGTTCTGAAAATATCATGATCTTTGCTTTGTGTGGATTCTTAATTATGTGCAGAATAACTAATTCCCATACTAAAAGCGGAAACTTGTCTCAACCATTATCTAGCCTCTTTACATATAAAAGCTGCTCTCAAAACAAATGACTACTCAGAATTTAATAAAATAAAGTGGTTGTCTAAAATATCACCCTTTAATTGACTAGTGTCATCAGTTTTCATTGTTGCTATGTGCAATATGTTTAAAGCTGTGATCTTGCAATCACTTACTTACCCAAAACTTTAGGCACATGAGTAATCTCATGGAAATCAGTAATTGGGTTACTCGTGCTTAAAGTTAAGCAGGCACACACACAAATGTTTTCAGGAATGTGGCCTTGGAGAATATATTAAAACATTAATTTGATGAAAAATGCTGGTAAAAATATGACTAAATATATGTTCATACAGCCTCTTACTTGTCTTATTTTAAATTTGGTAGCAAAAGCTTGGATCCAGCCCTTTTGCTTTTAATGAAAGTTACGCTGACTTTTCCTGTTAAGTTTACATTATTAAAAATAACACTTTTGGGGCAGTAAACAATGTAAACCTTAGCATTAACTTGGAAGGTTCTTCTTCTTTCACATAGTTTTTTTGGACTAGAGTAAAGCATATATTGCTCCTTGTAGGAGAAACAGCAGGATTTTTCCATCCATTCCCTTACAGTAGTTGATTGGTTAACAGGCGGGAGGGTAGATTTGTGTGACACATAGAGGCTTTTAGTTGGGACCAGGAATTAAGTTTTCTCTTGCACTATATTATCTCTACAGAGACTTGAAAACTGGAGTTATTGCTTGTGTTCAGATTGGAGGATAGTGGTTTCCTGTGGATTGTTGCACATCTTGGTTTAGCTGGGATTGCTGTAATATCTTAGTTGGGTACTCTGAATAGTATTAGTATTTAATTATGGTTTTGCTAATTTATTGGGAATTTTTTTGCACTTAGTTTGGGTTTTCTTGGCCCTTGACCCCTTTTCTCAAAGATTTAGAGTGGGTTTGAGAGCAGTTGGGGCTAAAAAACAGCAGGGTAAATGGGTATAGACAGGCTGTAGAATCTGGCTCCGATACAAAATGCATGCTTCCATCAAGGCCGATTTCCCTGGATGAGGGTTACATCTAAGGAACTGCAACTTGCCTAATTTCAGACTGGGGTAGTCTTTTGTAGGTTGTGGGGCTTTTGCAATATTTAAGAATAATCACAAGTACTAAATTGGATTACTTAATTCTTTGCCCCAAATTTAAGTTGTTAAAACTGCAGCAAGAGCTGTAAGATGCAAATAAAGTCCACATCTGTATGTTTCTTGGGGCCTGATGAGTGGCAGCAGCAGTCTTACCTTAGTGTGCTACTGTTCCCGTTGTTATATACAGGGCCGGCTCCAGGCACCAGGCACCGAAGCTGGTGCTTGGGGCGGCACCTGGAGGGGGGCGGCAGCGCGGCGCTCCCGCCGCCGGGGAGAGCGGGGCCACAGCAGGGCTCGCCTCCCTCTCCCGGGCCCGCCGGGGGGAGAGCGGCGAGCCCCGGCCGCGGCTCGCCGCCGGGCGCCCGGCCCCGGCGGGGGGAGAGCCGAGCCCCCGCCGGGGCTCGCCGCTCTCCTCCCAGGGCTCCGGCCGCCCTCCCCCTCGGCGCCCTGCCCCCGGCCGCCGGGGGGAGAGCGGAGCTCGCTGCCCTCCCCCCGGGGCTCCGGCGGCCGGAGGCTTTTTCGCCTGGGGCGGCGAAAAAGCCAGAGCCAGCCCTGGTTATATAAAATGGGCAGTCTGACAGCGTTAATATTGCGGATGGAAACTTCACTTTGCTTTTCCTGAATTTTTGTTTTAAATGTGTAACCTTAATGTATCTTTAATGTATGCTTTACATTTTAATATGATCATTTATCAGGATTTTCCGGCATTTACTAATAATGTGCTTTTGCAATATAGGGTAATGGAGCTGGAGCACTTGGCACCTTAAGGCAGCCCCTGGAGTTCTACACTGCAGATTGGTGCTGCCCTCATCTTTCATATGTAGCTATATATAGATTGCTTGCAGTTAGGGACTCAGTCAAACAATGTCTTCAATGGAAGGTGTGGGTACTTAGCACCTCACAGAAGGGAGAGCTCTTGGTGAATTATATATTTGGAATACGTGGTAATCACCATTCTGATTATTTTTCTTTGCAATTTTAAAATATTTGTTGGATCATGTTATCTTCAGTTCTTATCTTGTTTTCAACATTAAGTAGACACGATCACTTTTAAAAACCAAATTCATGTGGATTTGTATACATCAGTGTTACCATAGGGGCAGGAAATCATCACAGGCTCTAGCCAGATGCCCAGTGTACTAACACATGATATATCTTGCATATGCATTTGCTGCTACAGACATTCACATTGTATTTTTTCATCAGGTATTTTGAATGAAACTGGAGTAAGCTCAGGCTATTTGGCAACAGAAATGATTCGTTCCCAGGCCATGACGGTTAGTTTACATGCTACAAATAGCATTTTGATGGAATAGTTTGCACTGCAATAACACCTAAAGGCGCTTGTAGTCCAAATGTTACACTGTTCTCTGTCTATTTATCTGCTATTCAAACTGCTATCAAAAATAGATACAAATCTGAATGGTTCACATCACCACCACCACCACTTATATAGGCACATGTTCACACTTCACTCAGCATACTGAGGAACTGGCTTTTAGTTTTTTCTCTACCCTCTAGCCCACAAAAGGTTCTTCCTTTCTCTAAATGAGACAGGAATTTTTTAGTTTGTAAGGAAAATGTTTTAAAATAAAATTGCTCTCCCTCCAAAAAGAGTGTACTGGTGTACTATAAAATTAAAGATAAGAGGCCTAATACATAAGTGGAGATACACCAGGCAAGAATTTGGCCCAATAGTTGTACTAGCAAGATTTGAGAACCTTTTCTTAAGTCAATATTATCAAATAAGATAATTTATATGCTCCCTAAATTCCATAAACCCCCATTCAAATTTCCAGGCAAGTCTATTAGGCTGGTTTACAATTGGAAATTTGAACCATTGCTGAAAATGATTTTCTCATGGGGTCTCTCTGACAAAGAGGTGAATGGGTTTAAGGGCTAGCATAGGCTCTCAGCACACTGAAACAGTATTGAAAATCATCATTTTCAGTCTACACCAGAGTTCCCCTAAAGTGTGTAACCACACACCCTGTTGTCAAGTAATGCATGCAGCAGGTTGCCAGGTGTGTGTCTCTCAGCCACTAACTGTGTCAACAGTGTGTGTGTATGTGTATGTGTATAAATCTGATTGATCTTATCCATGCATTAGTTAGCAAATTCCTCATAGTGTGAAAATTCTGACAAAAGGCAATTAGGATTCACAGGGATGTCACCACCCTAAATGATTTCAAGTTCAAATTTGGATAAATACATATACAAAATACAGCCATACTGGGGCATAAGTAGCCATTTGTATGTACAATTACCCAGATTGTACGCTTAGTCCCCAACTCAGCAAAGCACTTACGCACGTAATTAAGTCCATCCCTCTTCAACAAAGCACTTAAATAAGCACATGTTTAAGTACATACAAAAATGTAAGTGCACAATTGTCTGTGGACCTCAAGACTCCCATTATGAAAACAGGACCCCATAAGGCAGACATTTCATCCGCCACTCTTTGGTTTCAATTTGGGGGAACTCTCCTGGTTAATTTATGTTCCATGAATGCAACACAGACAGTGTACTATTTTTTTTTTAATGCTACTAGATGGACAAGAGAGTTCCAGTGCCGTCTGTTCCCTATCTTATGTGTAGATGTACATGCTTTTAAGAAGTTATGGGGGGAAAACTACATATGATGCCTTTTCCTGCATCAGTAAAGAAGTGTAAGAACAAATAGATGAAAAATAACAAAAATGTTTCTATATTTTAGCTATATATTACTCCTTGAATAAGGCATCGAAGTAACATTATTCTGAGTATTTGAGTGTAGGGTGGTTAAGTGTGTACAAAGACATTTCAATCATTGCTGCTGTCATGACCGATACCCAAGATTCCCCATCAAGGGCATACTCTTGTTCCCATTGATGGCAACAGCAAAACTCCCACTGACTTCCATAGAAGCAGGATTATAGTCCATGTTTAATCCTGTAATAATGGGAACCTTTTTCTACAGTGGCTGAAGGCACTACTGTGATGTTAACTTTCTTTGTTATTGGCAAGGTATTTAAATTTACAAAAAATGGTGAAACAAAAAAGCAAACCAAAAAATAACCCATCATCACACTTCTCTGTATCCAAACATGATTATACAGTTCTTCTTTGTAACTAAGCCCTCCATCTCATTTAACAAGTTACCTTCAGAAAAAAATTGCTCCACACCAGCATTGTCTTTATATTGCTACTGAGATTTTAAATAGAAGGTTCCTCATTAGCAGCAGCCTCTGCCGCCACTGCTGCCAGACCCCAGGAGAGTGCTACTTACTCTAACTGCAGTATTCATTTGTTAAATCATAACCTGGTACTGCTTTATCTTGAATGTCTGCCAAGTAGTACTACAAGGCAGTAAGAACAGGAATACAGAAAATGACAAATGGATTGGTGATGATACTGGAAAGGATACATCTAATTCACTCTGGAAGAAAAAAGATAGGTGGGTATTAGTTTTAGTCAGATGATAATGTGAATTATCGTTCACCTCATGGTCATTAAGCATTACATACCACTTCTCCTTTGGATGAAAAAGGAAAGGCCTGTCAGAGCACAGATATAAACTTCCAGGACAGCTTGATTTTCTGTGGTGGTTTGTGCAGGTCCATGCTCAGTTATATCATGCTCATTAATGTGGGATCTGAGTGCTTGTAATGTATTATCCTAGCCTCCATGACAAGTTAAGATTCTTCAGAATTTAATTTTTTATTGAAAAATTGAACTTCAAAGAATTATGGTTGCCAAGCAATAAAACTTTCTGAACATATGACACTATGCAGTGCTGTCTTACTGAGTCTTAAGAAAGACAGCCTGAGACAATAACTGAGCGTAGGGTTGTGGATGCAGCTGTGCTCCTGAGTCCCAGCAAAATGCTCTGTTCCAAGCAGTGGAGCTCTGCTGTGTCATCTGTTCCCTCCTTGTTTTCTCAGTGATTAAAATTCTGCCATACAAGGGTGGAACTTCCCGGAAGAGAGATGAAGTTGCCACTGGGCTTCCTTATCCCTGGTTCAGGGTCCAATATTCTACCCTTGATTTTTATGCAAAAGTCCACTGACATAGTGAAAAAGTTGCTGTGGATTGAGGATATCATATGGCAGAAACTCATAGCTCTGGTTTATGGACCCTAAAGAGAACCATAATTCAGCCCACTCCACTGAACGAGTTCAACATCCCCATTTAAAAAGTTTTTGTATATCACAAAAATCAAACTTCGGGTGACTGATCAATTCAGTTTATACTTAAGATTTTTTTTTAAAAAAAAGGTCACTGGGCACCAAGAGGCACAGATTCCAAACAGTGCGCTTGGTTATATTTGTGTAGCTACCATCAAAATCAAGGGGAGTCCCAGAGTCAAATCCCATAGGTAGCTTTGAAAACCTGCTCCTGATTCTGTGAATGTTTTCTCTGGTACAGAAGCATAAGGTCTGATAGCTAAATTTAAGAATAGAAATTCCATGAGATAAAAATAGCACATGCAAGAATGTTTAAAACTCGCAAACCTAAAATATAAAGATGACAAAATGTCCCTCTAGAGCAAGACAGATGTTCTTTTCTTTCCCACTGCTTTTTTTGCTTTGTTTTTCTCTTTGTGTTGTCATCATCACAACTTAGAGTTCTGCTACAATTATGTAAACAACGAGGAGTCTGTTGGCACCTTAAAGACTAACAGATTTATTTGGGCATAAGCTTTCGTGGGTAAAAAACCCACTTCTTCAGATCTAGAATTGGGTTTTTTACCCACGAAGGCTTATGGAAGAAGTGGGGTTTTTACCCACGAAAGCTTATGCCCAAATAAATCTGTTAGTCTTTAAGGTGCAACCGGACTCCTTGTTGTTTTTGTGGATACAGACTAACACAGCTACCCCTCTGATACTAGAATTATGTAAATACTCAACATTAATTTAGTACAGATTTATTCCCTTGGCTCTGTGGTTTCCACCAGAACCTCTGTCTGGAATTATAGGCCTCTTATTCAGTGGCCTGCTATTTATTCTATGTATTATATGTTATTAAAAATAGAACTATGGTATGTGATTTCTCTAACCCACCCCTCTTTTCAGTTCTCCAAGTTTTAAAGCCCAACTGCTTTGAATAATACAGGTTCTGTAGCATGATGCAAGCAGTAAATTGCTAATAATTATCAGCTTTTTTAGCCTATATATACACGTACAAGAAATGGATGTGCAGCATCTGTTAAAGTTGGTAGATTCACAAGGTACTAGAGTATATTTGTGCTAAGGCAGACAGACTTTTACTATGTTAATACTGCCTCTACTTTCATTCACAGCTGAAACCATTAAAACTTAGGAAAAAGCTGGCAGCAGACTTAGAGCAATTAGACAAAGAAAATGCTAGTAAATTCTGCTACACATGAGAAATCAAATTCCATTCCTGGTACGAGTGCTAAGGTTGTGACTGCAATTGTAGCAATGAGTTTCCAACCTCAATGCATTAGAGAACTGGGGCACACTGTAGTGGCCAATCTTCTATTAGCCTGAGCATGGTTAGTTGGGAATTTTACTCCTAACACCATTTGACCCATATTGTAAAGGTGATAGATTCAGGCAAGGTTATCTTCTGAGTCAACAAATTTACACATGGAGTAGCTTTAAGATCAGCTCTGCCGGCCTAAGTCTGCTGTAGAAAATGTTTGCATTATTATTGGGAAATCAAAGTTATAAACCTGATCTTTAGTATGTACAGTTATCGATGGCACACCATGGAGTCGATGGACTCGAGAAGGAATTGCACCCACCCTCTTTTGCCAGAGGAAGGATAACTTTTAGGGTATGTCTACAATTAAAAAAAAATAAAATAAAATAACCTGTGTTAGCAGGTTAAAATAGCAGTAAAGACATGGCAACTCAGCTTTTAACTCTATTTAGAAGCTCGAGTTCAAATCTATTTGGCAGGCTGAACGTGAGCTTCAAAGCTGAGTTGCCATGTCTTTACTACCCTTAGCTAATCCATGTTAAGAACACTTTTTTCCAGTGTAGATACACCCTTACACAGAGCCTTTGAGCCACTCATGCTGGGGAAAGGGTAGGATATCCAACCAAATTAAAAAACCATGTTGAAACTGTTAAAATACATCTTTATCTAAATTTGTTTCTAACATGATTTGTCCATCCTGTGTGGACAGGACCAAACAGTGTCAGAACTATGTAAAACAACATGTGTTTTAGTCTATGATCACAGTGGGTGGCCAAACTGGAACCATATCAGAACTTGATTCCCAGACTCTGACTGTATCGATGCAATACCTTTTCTCTTAAAAATTCCCACTGCTGCATTGCTACCAATGGTAGCAATAGTGGGAGTGCCAGTATAGATTGGCAGTTGGTGTTTCAATGAGTGCTTTGTCCAACCCTGCTCCGAGTGGGAGGGTACATTAGTGCTTTCTTCACTTCTAGCACCATTGGAGCTTATCTGTGGGTGGCAATGGTGGGAAATTTTAAGAAAAATAAATCTAATATAGAAAAGACCAGTTTAAAAGCTAGTGTAGATGGGGCCATTCAGAGTGGGATGCGTGTAGGTTCCTGAAGGACCATTTGGTGGATAAACATACAAAAAGACTGTTTCCTAGCACAAATATTTTTGCATTCAATGTCTAATAGTTGATAAGCCATATATACTTATATTATTGTATGTTACAAAATAAAGAACTTTGAAAAACTTCCTGATACTGCCTTGTTACAGTTGTCACAGTCACACCAAAACTCTCCACATTTTACATTTTTATAAACAAGGATTCCCACCCCCTCTTTCATTTATGTTGTCTCTGAACAATCTGTCCACAAAGGCTTTCAAAGAAAGGAAATGTTTTGCAATGGATTCTATGTCTCACTCACCACTCTGCTGAAATATCTGTCCAAAACCTCCACAAAATTATGAATTAGTTCATATACAGCCATCTCATTCTGAAATATAATTTGAAAGCATGTGAAATATTAAATGAATGGATAGAAGATATGCTACTTGTTCACATTTTATTTCAACGTGAGATGCATGCTTCTTTGAAATCAATTAGAAAATAATTAGTGAGTAGCACAAATAAGTATGCAAGCTTAGGCTCTCTTAGTAGTACCTGTAGAAATGTACATAGACCATTATTATGTACTATATCAAAGCCGAACAACCTGCTTAAGGCGTACGCCAGTACAATCTATGGCTGACCTAGAAGAAGTCATTACAGCAATGAGCAGCCACTATCCTCCTTGGCATGTGGCCATGACTATGTTACAAGCTTTTGTATTCATTTTAAAGACCTAGTACTGCTGAAACAGTATGAATACTAATGTAGAGTGGGCTCAGGCATTGTCAGCATAATGTCATAAAATACCAAAGTGTAGACTCTTACATAAAAAACAGTGCTAAATGCTCAAATCTGGTGTACATTACCAATGACACCATTGCTAACACTGGTGGAACTGAAAAATGGGTACTAAACTTAGCAGTGTAGCCAGCAAAAGATCTGAGCCATCTCTTTCTCCTTGCTATCCCACTCAACAGTAAAATATAAGTATTTCCATTACTTCCAGTGTGCACAATCACGTTGGTCTTCTCTGCACTGGGAAACTTTTGCTAAAATTTACTATTGTTGTTCACACTGATTCAGCTCAACCAGTGGGAGGGCCTGTTTACAAAAAGAACCATCAGCTGCTGGTGTTTTAAGCGCTATGACATATTGGCCTGCACTGAGCTGGGTTAGGTGACATATCACCTAGAGTTGTGTCTATACTAGTGCTACTTGGGGGAAAATTTTAGCAAAATAATCCTTGTGTAGACACACTCATTGTGAAGTTTATAGGCCTGGCTATCAGAACTTCCTTGAGACCAGATTCCACATCTTGAATTGGCCAAAATTGCTCACAAGTGGCAAATGACCCTTGCTTCCAAAAAAAAACAACAACAAAAATCCCAAGCTGCCCACCAAAAAACCCTATTGTGAGCCAATGCAGTTTTTACTCAAGGAGCCAAATCCTGAAATTTTGCTGAGAGTTTTTTTCCGTGTGTAAGAATTTAGTACAAAATTGAGTAGGCACTTTCAGATCTGGCCATAATCTTATAACTTGTGGGTTTTTTTTGTTTAAGATGAATTGAAAGAAAAATACCAAGTTACAAGAATTAGGGCCAGATTGGGAAGTATCCTACTTGGTTTTACTGACTGTGGTTCCGGTTTGGGAAATCAAAGTTATTCAGGCCAGCACTTAAACATGTGCTTAATTCCCACTGAAAATTAAAGGTAAGCATGTGCTTAAGCGTTGCACACAGAAATGGACTTAAGCACATGCTTTAATTGTTTTCCTGAATCAGAGCCTAAAATAATAGTAAATTTCAGTCACAGCACTTCTTTTTCTCACCAAGAACAGTACATCTGCCTAGCCTATCAGAATGGCAGTTGCTTGCTTCTCTGGACCCAGTTGTCCTGGCCACTGACATCTAGCACAATGAGCAGTTGGGACAGCACCTTAGACCAGGCATTTGGCTTGGCTGTAATGATGCTGATATCTATTGAAAAACCCCAACTCCATCCACCAAGTATCAGTTTGCAAGATAGTATTAGTATCACACTCATTAGGAAACTCCATGTGACAGCAGTTCAGACTGCTGAAGTAGTATGAAGTCCAAAGAGACTACTTCTTTCTTTTCCACCACACCACTTTGTATTTGATAGAAATAAGGGTGCTTTCAGAATGACACCTTGAAATTCTGTAATAGAAATTGTGAAACTGCTTGGGGAAAGAAGATGGAATAGGAGGCTGTAATGAGGAGGCGTGGCCTCCCTCAGAGGCGGATGCGGAGGGAACGTCACAAGCCGCCTGGTGGGTGGAGCCTGGAGGACCACGCCCTGCACGTCGGAAGCAGAGAGGAGGGACAGGAAGAGGAAGTATAAAAGGCCAGCCCAGCAGCTCAATTAGGGGGGAGCTGTTAAGGGAAACAGATGTCTTCCCTGCTGTGGGAGCTGGGATGCTGAGGAGAATCAGAGCTTCCCTGAGGGCCTGCATGAGCTTCCTGAGACCCCTGTCACTCCTGACACTGAGGAGCTGCTACCGCTACCCGGGGTGGTATATCCCAGGGAGACGGAGGATGACCCCTGGATGCATGTACACCTGAGGCGGAGAGTAGGAAGCAGCCCAGGGAAACTACTGTTAGAGCCCTGGGCTGGGATGTGGTGGAGTTGGGTGGGCCTGTGTCCCCTCTGCCACCTCCTTAGGCCAGGAGGCCTGTGCTCCTTGGACATCCTTGCTAGAGCCCCTTAGATGGTGGTTGGGGCTCCAGCTCTGCCTGACTGCAGGCAAGAGCCCTGACTGTTTACTGTCCTGCCCTGCTTGAAGGCTGGGCATATGAACAACTATACCTCTGCCTGACTCCAGGCCAGAGCCCTGATTGTTTACTGCCCCGCCCGGCTTGAGGGCTAGCTTATAATTTAGTATATTGCTCTGTCCTGACCGCGGCCAGAGCCCAGACTGTTTGTAGAACCTTCCCGCTTGAAGGCCAGGGCCCATTGAGTACCGCTAATTCCCTCTAGCAGACCAGACTGCGAGGAGGAATGGCCTACCTCGGAGGCGGACGCGGAGGGACGGCCATGACTGCCTACGGAGGCATATTCAAAGATTAATTTAAATCCACATTTCTTACATTTTTCACAGATTAAATGTAATCTCTTACCTCTGTTTCATTGATTCCAACCACTATGAAAAGGGCTGCATATTGTCGGTACACCAGCTTAAAACCCTTATATTCAATGAAAGAGCACTAGATAAAAATGCAAATGGTTAAACGTTAACTGCCACATTAGACATAATTGGTTACTATACACAATGTGCTTATTAAATATACTGTTGTGTACACACATAGGGCCCCGTCTCTCATTTACAGAAGTTTCATGAGTGTAACTTGTTCACTTTAGTGAAGTCACTCCTGACTTACAATGGTGTAAAGGAGAGAAGAATCAGCTCCACAAAGTATGAAGGGTTTCTCAGTCTTCACCCCACAATCTCCCTCTGGAGGTAAAGGAAATTAATAAAATATTAAGTTATTAGATAGGGCTTTTCATCTGTGGATCTCAAAGCACTTTACATCAAGGAGAGTTTTATTCACACTTTACAGATGAAAAATCTGAGCCACACAGAGGTAAAATGATTTGCTCAAGATTACACAGCAGATCAGTTGGGCATCCCTCTTCTCTTCCCTTACTTCTCCAAACAGAAACATTTTAGAAGACGACAGGGAGAAAATCATTGTCAGGTAGAAAATTATATCTATGATATTGACAGATAGATGATATTAGGGCAATGGGTTTCCATTTCTTGCTTTCTATCTTTAGACTTGTGGGGGAAAACATAAACATCTATTTCATAATCTATATTGTTATGGCATGAGTCACCAGATGGTGCTGTTACACACAGTGTCACAAGATCTTTTTTCTTCAAAGGTGAGCATGGTTAAATCTTTTTTAAAAAATGCTCTATTGTTGTTAGTTTTCTGATTATTTTAGGGGAGCTGTTGCAAACAGCCGCAGAGTTTGCTCTCAACCTTAATCTCTCTAATTAGAGTATATTATTGAGGCAAAATTCCTTCCTGGGAACTGGGCAATGGTGTCTTTGCTGAGATTCTGGAAAGAGGGGATTGCCTGTGTACTGTTAGGCCACTTCTGTTCTAGGACTGGTGTGCAGAGTGTAAAATAAACAAGTTGCAGTAAAAAATATACCCACATTCCATGTAATTGATTTCTCCCCCAATGGGAAACTGACCTGCAAGAACCTGACATCTGTGCAGTATAGACAAATCTTGCCATTTTATTGAGTATTGAAATATTTGGTGTTTTTCTTAAAGCCGCAACTCCTGGAGCCATGTAATTACGTGAGTATCCCAGTTTTCATTAAAAAAAATAAAATATATGTTTATAATCCTTGTGGCTGCAGACGGAAGTCTGAAAATGTGAAACTCAAATGCTCAAAAACCAGAAGGGAAATAAGACCCAAAGTTTGTCTTCAAAATCATGAGATTTTAAAAAACAATCTTATGATTTTAAGAGTCTGACTCATGATTTTTAAATCCTTAGGGCTAGCATTACTGCATCCACTACTGCTTGGCAGAGCTGTGATAATTTCTATCTATTATATATAGGTCAATCTGCTAGGTCTGATGAAAATATCTAGGCAAGGGAGAAAAATATATTCCTCTTCTCCTTTGCCCTGGAATTTTCAGCCTCCCTAGGAAGAGGTGGAATCCTCTGTCAGAAAACCAGGTTTCCAACCTGAAAAAAAATAGCCTATGCAGTATACAATAACCACTTACTTTTAGTCTCAGCATAGATACAAATAGAATAATGACATACAATGGATATGTATGGCTCTTCTGTTGTTAATTATTTACACAATTTTTTTTGTCAGAAGAGAAGTTAGACAACTCCTAACACAGGAGAAATAAATAACTCTCTATTACTGTCTTAGAACTAATACACATGCCATCTTGTTCACTTTGGCACCAGCTGGTTGTCACTTATTTTCAATATTGTATATTATACCTAAAAACATGTGAGATGTTGCTTCTGAGGCAATAGAACATCAGTGGGAAAGGAAAATTCACAAACCCCAAACAGCCATATTCTGCCATCTTATGCACATTGAATAGTACTGTTCTATGCAATTAGTCCCATTAAAATCAACAATAACATTCTCCCAGACCATCAGGCGTAATAACTTTGCTCTTTCAACTCATCTTCCCTTAAAAGTTGAGGAAAGAGAAGAGCACCCTAAAGTCAACACACTTGATCAAATACGGAAGTGAATTCCAGAGCTGAGTACCAGTCTCTGGAAAGGCACTGCCTGCAGCCCATTCCCAGTTTAACTAGGGGTGCTTGTAGGTCAAAGAACTTCAGCTAGTCTCAGTTACTGCAATATCATATGATGGACTGTGAGGTAACCAGGGCTAAATTAGTGAAATCTGAGCTCTATTGAAGTCAATGGCAAAACTCCCATTGCTTTAATAGGGCCAGGATTCCATCCAGGCTATTTAGTGCTTTACACATCAGAACTAACACCTTGACTTGCACCCAAAAACAATAGAGAGCCAGTGCAGGCTGCAGAGAACACGTGCAAGGATCTCCCTGAGAGAAGCACCACTGAGCTGAGCAGGCAGGCAGATTCTACACTAGTTGAAGTCTTTAAATGTTCTTCACGTGCAGTAGAATATAAAATGTATAGGAATAATCCAATACAGAGCTAACAACGGTACAAGTACCTGTGTCATTATCATGTATTGATACATGGTTAGGAATATTGGCTCATACATGAGTTGATGAGCCCTCTAAACTTCATTTCAAGTATCATATCCTTGTAGGGCATGTCTAGAATTCTCCAATATCTATGTAAAAAGAGGGACTTTTGTATCAGGTAAAATGGAAGATATTAAAAAAAATCCCCAAAAGTCATTCAAGTTCTATAAGAAAACAATTGTGTTTTTACTAATCAGCTCTGGAGTTGGATAACTTGGAAACCATATACCAAATCAGGACAGAATTCCTTAGTAGTAATTCATCTAGAATATGGCACAAAGCCACACCATTATTTTAGCCATCTGACCTTGAGGAAGGCTGCATGGACAAAATATCGGCAATTTCAGGAATACAGAGCAATGTTAGCATTTAAGAGAAGTGCAAGTTTTGTTTCTATTAGTTAGCAACAGCATGCATATGTCAATTTCTATAGCATGTTTGGGGAAAAAATGGATTTTCTTGAGAGAACCTGATTCTTGCACTACATTTATAATAAACCAACTATAGAGAAAAAGAAAATAGATTTATATATGAACTTTCATGTCAAGAAGTACCTTGGCAGCAAAACCTAACACAAAACATACTAATATTTCTTGAGTGTAGTTCACTGTGTAATATTCTTTCCTTGGTTCCATTTCAAATAAAATGGCTAACTCAGAAGAAAAAAAAACTTACTTGCTCTTTTGAACGGGAAAGGCAATTTTTGATTACTTCAGCTTCCAGCATTGTCCGCTTATGAATTTCCACATGTTCATAATACCTGGAGAGTCTTGTTTGACCTTGTTTGTTCACCATGAGAAAAAACTTTATCATTTTTCTGTTCGGCTCAGAAATAGTCTCTTTGTTACAAGAGGCAGGTAAGCGGGAACTGTATTTCTGAAGAAAACAACAACAAAAAAGATACATGGAAGTTATGAAACACTTTTGAAGAAGCATGTAATTGGTGTTGAATTTTGTATTCACTGGGTCTGATGTCAGTGTACAACTGATGTAAGCAAGAAGAAAATCAAGCCCATTGTCTTTCCTAATACTGTTGGTGTTTTTAATTTGAACTCACTATTGTATGAAAGTGCTGACCAAGCAGAAGCCCAACCAAGATTCTTCTACTGTGCAGTAACACCAAAGATAGCAACCTAGATATTTTCAGATTCTTGCTGTAAGGGCAAGTATCATTTTACTAGTAAGGAAGAGACTTCTAATGGGATAACATAACTTAGTGTGAGAATTAGTATGTTAATATCGGTGTTAAACCTGTGAGCATGGTGTAGAATTAGTCTGGTGTAGAATTAGTCTGAGTTTAGTATTCATGCAGTTAACCGATATGCTGTGCCTTCTCTCCAACCAAATTTCCTTGTAAACGCTCAGTAAACATTACTTACTTCAGGGTATTCTCTCTTAAAAGCATTAACCATATACATAGGTGCTATCCTTTTTGTTCACAACACACCGGCAGAAATCAGCATATGAATGTTAAAGGATTTTAATTCTATTAGAAACTGTAAATGTAGGGCAGCATTTTCCTCTCCAGTGTGTATAATGGGTTTCAAGGGTCAAATTCTGGCTAGTAATTGTGCCTATGTGTTTGCAGGAACAACCTTGGGTCACAGGAAAGCACAGAACAGATTGTTCTCCTGATCCTGGACTTCTCCAAACCTACAAAAATGTTACTCTATGATTGTAGATATCGAGTAGAGGGGCCTAGGTGACAGGGGTGTAGCCATCATTCTTCCGCTCTACTCTGCTCTGGTTAGGCCTCAGCTGGAGTATTGTGTCCAGTTCTGGGCACCGCATTTCAAGAAAGATGTGGAGAAATTGGAAAGGGTCCAGAGAAGAGCAACAAGAATGATTAAAGGTCTTGAGAACATGACCTATGAAGGAAGGCTGAAAGAATTGGGTTTGTTTAGTTTGGAAAAGAGAAAACTGAGAGGGGACATGATAGCAGTTTTCAGGTATCTAAAAGGGTGTCATAAGGAGGAGGGAGAAAACTTGTTCACCTTAGCCTCTAAGGATAGAACAAGAAGCAATGGGCTTAAACTGCAGCAAGGGAGGTCTAGGTTGGACATTAGGAAAAAGTTCCTAACTGTCAGAGTGGTTAAACACTGGAATAAATTGCCTAGGGAGGTTGTGGAATCTCCATCTCTGGAGATATTTAAGAGTAGGTTAGATAAATGTCTATCAGGGATGGTCTAGACAGTATTTGGTCCTGCCATGCGGGCAGGGGACTGGACTCAATGACCTCTCGAGGTCCCTTCCAGTCCTAGAATCTATGAATCTATGAATCTTTCACTTCATTGGCCTTGTGATCTGGTAGTGCAGTGCTTCCCAAACATTTTACTAAGACAACCTACCCAACTGCATTTTGTCTGTTTTTATGATTTGCCGTTACATATATGCACCAGTCTGCCCCAACTATCACAACCCTAATCCTGCCCTGGCCCTAGTGGGAATGGTTTGAGAGCAAGTCTGCCCTGCACTCACCGCACAGTGAGGGCTCCTGTCCTGCACGGCTGGGCCCCGCTCCCTGCTCTAAGCATTGTGACTTGGTGCATGGGGTTGAAGTCCCATTCAGGTCAGGTCCGGCCACCCTCCATCATGACAGAGGGGCAGCTGAACCAAACCTAAGTGAGTGGCATTGCGACATGGTGCTGAGCCCCTGTGCACCAGTTCACAATGCCGGAATGGGGAGCTGGGCCCAGACCTGTGGGACAGCAGCCACCACTGCAGGGTGACCTTGCTTTAATAACCCTACTCCAGCCTCTTTGTCCTCCCCTGCACGGGCCTCAACTCTGCAATGAGCCAGGAGGAGTGTATGTTTGCAAAGGCCAGGGGCCAGAGATGGATTAATCTGGTCCTGGCCATTGCAATCCATCTAGAACCTTCCTGTTACCCACTGCTGGGTTGGGATCCACGCTACCATAGTGGTCCCCAAATGGTATCTTTTAAAGTGTGCACACATGAAGATTACTCTTGTGGATTAATCCACAGGAACGTTTGTGCAGTTGGCAGAGCATGTTCACATATTTACCTTACTTTTTAGTTTCAATATACATCTGTTGAAGTGGAAGTTTAGTGCTAGAAATTGGCCCCATATACACAGTGCAAATGTCTAAAGCAGGGGTCGGCAACGTTTGGCACGCGGCTCACCAGGGTAAGCACCCTAGCGGGCCGGGCCAGTTTATTTACCTGCTGACGCGGCAGGTTCGGCCGATCGTGGCCCCCACTGGCCGCGGTTTGCCGTCCCGGGCCAATGGGGGCGGTGGGAAGCCGCAGCCAGCACATCCCTCGCCCGCGCCGCTTCCCGCCACCCCCATTGGCCCGGGATGGCGAACTACGGCGAGTGGGAGCCGCAATCGGCCGAACCTGCCACGTCAGCAGGTAAATAAACTGGCCCGGCCCGCTAGGGTGCTTAGCCTGGCGAACCGCATGCCAAACGTTGCCAACCCCTGGTCTAAAGCATATTCTGCTCTCATTCCCCCAGCACAACTTCAATTTTTTCATGCAAATGTGAGTGCAAAATATACAACAGAGACCCATTTTAGCAATAATAGTTAATTTCACATTAAGAGTTCTGTGAACTGCAGTGGACAATTTTCCCTTGGAAACATAGACTCATAGATTCATAGACTCATAGACTTTAAGGTCAGAAGGGACCATTATGGTCCTCTAGTCTGACCTCCCACATGATGCAGGCCACATAAGCTGATCCACCCACTTTCCCTTAACTCAGCTGTTGAAGTCTCCAGATCGCGATTTAAAGACTTCAAGTCGCAGAGAATCCTCCAGCTTGCGACCCCTGCCCCATGCTGCGGAGGAAGGCGAAAAACCTCCAGGGCCTCTGCCAATCTACCCTGGAGGAAAATTCCTTCCCGACCCCAAATATGGCGATCAGTAGAACCCCAAGCATATTGGCAAGATTCTCCAGCTGGACCCTCATTTTACCAGCGATGGCACGTTATTGCCTAATTGACTAAAATCACGTTATCCCCCCTAACCATTCCCTCCATAAACTTATCTAGCCTAATCTTGAAGCCAGACAGGTCTTTTGCCCCCACCGTTTCCCTTGGAAGGCTGTTCCAAAATTTCACCCCTCTGATGGTTAGAAACCTTCGTCTAATTTCAAGCCTAAACTTCCCCACGGCCAGTTTATATCCATTTGTTCTCGTGTCCACATTAGTACTGAGCTGAAATAATTCCTCTCCCTCCCTGGTATTTATCCCTCTGATATATTTAAAGAGAGCAATCATATCTCCCCTCAGCCTTCTTTTGGTTAGGCTAAACAAACCGAGCTCCTCGAGTCTCCTTTCATACGAAAGGTTTTCCATTCCTCGGATCATCCTAGTGGCCCTTCTCTGTACCCGTTCCAGTTTGAGTTCATCCTTTTTAAACATAGGAGACCAGAACTGCACACAGTACTCCAAATGAGGTTTCACCAGCGCCTTGTATAACGGAATCAGCACCTCCTTGTCCCTACTAGAAATACCTCGCCTAATGCATCCCAAGATCGCATTAGCTTTTTTCACAGCTACGTCACATTGCCGACTCATAGTCATCCTGCGGTCAATCAGGACTCCGAGGTCCTTCTCCTCCTCCGTTACTTCCAACCGATGCGTCCCCAGCTTATAACTAAAATTCTTGTTAGTCATCCCTAAATGCATCACCTTACACTTCTCACTATTAAATTTCATCCTATTACTATTACTCCAATTTACAAGGTCATCCAAGTCTCCCTGCAGGATATCCCGATCCTTCTCCGAATTGGCAATACCTCCCAACTTCGTGTCATCTGCAAACTTTATCAGCCCACTCCTACATTCGGTTCCGAGGTCAGTAATAAATAGATTAAATAACATGGCTACTTGCACATTTTTCTGCTAGCATCCTAACCAATATGGGTACTTTCAATCAGCAATTCACACAGTCGGTATCCTACCAATATATAAGATTAATGCAGCGTATGCTGGCTCAAAGACACAAAGTAGGCCTGCTCACTCTTTCTTAACTTGGTGACCTAATATCTAGCAGTTTCAGTGGAACTATTGTTAATGAGGGGTGACCAAAGCACAGAATATGATAATGTGATATATGACTGTGCGTTCTTTAATACAGTGTCAGCCTCCTGGGACTAGGGGTCCTAGTACACAATTCTCCATCTTGATCTGGGCATTAGGACCTACTGAGACCTGTATTTTCCAGTCTGTATCAGTGTACTAAAGATAAAGGCAGTATCTTTAGATAAGATAAAGTGGCTCCTAGGGTACGTTTACAGTGGAGCTGGAAGCTGCCTTTCAGCCTAGGTACACAGACTTACACTAGCTCCATTGGAGCTAGCATGCTAAAAATAGCAGAGCTAGCCACCAGAGTCCAAGCCTGTCCGACCCCCTGGGTCTGAGCTCGGGTGATTAGCCCGAGCCACTGCTCTTTCAGCAACATCCATGCTATTTTTAGCATGCTAGATCGAGTGGAGCTAGCATGAGTCTGTCTACATGGGCTAGGAGGCACACTCCCAGCTGTAGTATAGATATACCATTAGGCTCTTGATGAGATGTCTGTGGACCTTAGACGGCCAAAGTTTGGGTTAACAAACTTGGGTTCAATAAATGTTAACACAAAATGCCACTGAAATGCAGTTTGGAGCATAGTATATATTCTACACACAATATCTAATGAAAAATTCTATTAAAAGAAGGTTGAATATATATGCAAAAGCTGCCTTTTAAACTTAAAGAACTGCCATCTAATATATTTCAAAGAAAATACAAAAAGCTTTTCCAAGTTGCAGACTAAAAGCCTGCAAAATATAATTTTTAAAAATGAACGGGTTTTAAATTAGAACTTTTTTTTTTAAATTCCAGAAACCAGCCGCAGTAATGTTTTCCATCTGTCTTTCTCTGGCTGTTTGGACTTACTGGCCTGTATGCTCCTGTGGTTCGTGTGTTAAAAGTGCAGCAACTTGCTGCAAAAGCTGTCTCAAAATTCTAACCCACAAGTCATGCTGCCTACCTGGTGCTTTACTAAGCTGTAACATCAAAGAAATGGTTCCATAAGAGCTGCAAATTCCAGCAAGGAGGTGTGACCTAAGGAAATGTGAGAGAAGTCAGGGCAAAACCCCAATACAATATATACTACCTGGAAAAACAATGTACATTAATACAGAAAGTTGAAAGGGAAGCAATTCAGAAAACAGAATAAATCAGAACAACTCTAAGCAGCATTAACATGTTGTTAGCAAACATCCGCACAATACAACCTTTTCAGTAGATACTGTATATACTCGTTCATTAGCCCGTTCGTTTATAAGCCGATCCCCCAAGATGGATAGGTAAAAACAGCAAAAACTGTATAACCCTTTCATAAGCTGACTCTATATTTCAGGGGTTGGCAAACTTTGGCTCCCGGCCCATCAGGGTAAACCACGAGCGGGCCTGGACGTTTTGTTTACCTGGAGCGTTCGCAGGCACAGAGCCCCTCAGCTCAAAGTTGCTGCGGTTTGCCGTTCCCAGCCAATGGGAGCTGTAGGATGCAGCGTGAGCCGAGGGACATGCTGCCCACCACTTTCCGCAGCTCCCATTAGCTGGGAACGGCGAACCACGGCCACTGGGAGCTGAGGGGCTCCGTGCCTGCGAACGCTCCAGGTAAACAAAATGACAATGTATTAGATATTCAATTCAATAATTCCATAGAGTTTAAAATGATAAGCTGACCCCCGCTCTTTGATGCTTCACTTTTTTACCAAAAAAATTTCGCTTATGAACATTTATATACGGTATTTCAGCATACTTTGACCATTTGCAAATGCTGAAGATGAGCGGGTGCTATCTCAGACTGCAAAGAACTTGGAAACAATTAGCTGAACACTTCCATTCATTGTAGCCACTCCCGCAGATGCTGCCATATGTGTAATAGTGCAGGGCTCTCCATTTTCTCGAATATTTCATCCCCATTTTTTGCATCTCTTCAGTAGGTGTTTCTGGCAATAAACATTTTTTTCTTCATGACTAGATAGCATTTTATGTATTAACCTATACAGCTATTTTTGTAGTATATTTTTGTGAATCTCAGCCCTTTCTGAACCTTTTTACTACATAGGGGAGCATAAAGCCCACAGAAATTAAACATGGAACTAGGTTCTTAGATTGAGTTCTCTAGAGCAAAGACCGTCTATGTTGCTTGCACAATGGGGCCTTGATTGGTTCTTTAGGTGCTGCACTAGAAATAATAATAATCTTGTTCATGCTGCTACCAATGCAAGATTGTTCCCGATAGTATACAGTTTTTCTTTTTGTCCAGTCCTGTTTTAAGTTTCAAGTGCCAGTACTCACAACCTTACTTTCATTTGAACACTATTCCACAGTCTAATAGAACTAATAATACACACAGTAGATCAAATAAAATTAAGTTGATGGTTACCACCAGCTTTTTGATAACATATTTTAAAAACGGGCTTCTTGATTAAACATTTGCTTGCCAAATTCGAGCCAAGAGGGGAGTATCAACACATACAGGTTCCAGGCCTCTGAAAGACATAGGCTGAGATTCTGTGCTGTGCCTCCCACTCCTGATGTCAGGAATTGCAAGGGGGCCTACAAAGGACCACGTAGTGAGGCGGAGTGGCCTCCCACTGAGCTGGAGGGGGGAGGAGTCACTCTGTGATCCCTGGTGGGTGAAGCCAGGCCGGGCTTGCCCCTTCCACCAGAAGCCAATGGGTGGGACAGGAAGTATAAAAGGCTGAGTCTCTAACCTCTAACCCAGTTCAGTCTGAGCAGTCTGAGCCAGGGAAAGGAGCAGATGTCTCCAGGCTGCTGCAGCTCCCCAGAGCTGAACCCGTGCTGCACCACTCCCTGGCCCTGGAGGCGACTGACCCAAGTGAAGAGCTACCAAGTCTACTGCTTGCCGCATATCCCAAGGAGATGGAGGATGCCTGTAGAGTGCAGGTACCCAGCAAGGGGATCATAGGAAGTAGCCCAGGGAAACTAGACTTTTTAGTCTGGTTGGGTTGTTGCCTGAATCTACGTCAGCGTGTTTTGGTTGGCTCCCTGCTGACCCACTGGTGGAACACTCTGCCACTGTTAGGGCCCTTGGGATGGCAGCCTCCCCACTGTAGGCCAACAAGCCTGTGTCTGTTAGCCGCCCTGCCTGAGGGCCTGAGCCTAAAAAGTGTTTGTTGGTCCTGCTCTGCCTAAGAGCCTAATCCCTGATGGTGGTGGCGCTCCAGAGGATAATGAGTCAGAGTGGCCTCCCACTGAGCTGGAGGGGGAAGGACCATCACTAACTCACTACAGGCCACTTACATCTGACCTCCACGTTGCCTGCACCAGGAGGGAGAAACTCTCCCCTAGATGGCTAAGGGGCTTTTACAGGTCCTGTTTGCCATTGCAGAGGCAAACTCTGTAGCCAGACAGTATCTTCCACAGTGTATAACTGAAATGCTGATTGAGCCACGCCTACAACACTACAGCTGTGTGTCTATTATTTTTCAGATTACACCAGAAATTCCCTGGAATACAGTATTTGAATTTACCCACAGATACATCAGTTATTCTGATGAGGCCTCAGCAGGAACCTCTGTCAGTCTTAGAGACAATACTGATTACAAGTTTAGGTACTGGTTCTGCAACCATTACTCACTCTGAGTAGTGCTCACTTGTGAATAATCCCATTTAAATCTATGACTACATGCATAGTGCTACTCATTGTGAGTAATGATTGCAAAACTGGATCATGATTTCAGTACTTTGATATTGACTGAGACCATATGACAATCACCATCCTTATCCTTGTTAATCCAAAATAAAAATGGCAAATGGCTATAGTCCACAGAAAAGGACAATGTTACTGGTACTGTGAATTTATCAATATACATAGTACTTTATATGTTTCCCATCATCATAGTATCTAGCTACCCCTCAAACATTAATTAGTTCATCACATCCTTGTGTAAAGTATTAACTCCTTTTTATAGACCGGGAGCTGAATCCAGACAGATTAAGTAATTTGCCCAAAATCACAGGATTCTGTGGTAAAGTTTGGAATTGAAGCCCGCTTCCCAGCCCACTGCCTTGACCACTGACATTTACATTTAATGCAAGCAATATTCTGCATGTGAAATAATGACAGGCAGAAAGGGAGATTAGAATTTTTTTATGATGATTAAATTGTTCTCAGTGAAGAAATGGGTGGTTTTAGCACTGATGGATGGGTGTATTTTTATGTCCTTGGTCTTCTCACTCACTGTTAGGAAAGAAAGTCTCTATCTAGCCAGTTCAGCACAGCTTAGCACATAAAGAGATTAGTCACAATAATAGCTAAACATATTAAATAAATTTAAAGCAAACGGTATTAAACATGTGTACACCACATATGCAATAACTCTGAGGATACAGACTTTACCTATGGTGATATATGTAACCTAATTATTTCTTGGCAGCAAAGCCACTTATAAGTATTAAGGTCACCCATATCTCAGGAAGGTAATTTCATTATCCTCAGTGTAGTCTGAGTAATTCCTTAGACATTGCAGTTTAGGTTTTGATATGAAATTTATCTTCACTAGTTAGTTGGGGGATGACGTCATAAAATCTGGAGCGAGAAGTCATCCCCTAAGAAGTGAAGATTAATGATCTATTTACAGCTAAGTAAATATATATGCAATCTTTATAACCTCAGAAGTATGCATTTGCCAATCACAAGGTTGATATACAAAGTACTGAAATAAATAGTTGAAGGAGTTGAAAGGATTTAAAAATATTAATTTCAATGTTGCCCATCATCAGACAAACATTTTAATTATTATAAGATGCACTAGGGGCATTTCTAATCTTTAAAATAGCACCATGTGACCTAAATAGTTTTTTAAATAGATACTGGAAAAATCATGTAACAAAAACCATAGAAGTCAGGAAATTAGACTTGTGCACATGCACAAATGCAATGTACATTCAACAAATCAACTGGCCAACACAGCTTGACCTATTTCAGAAAAGTATCCAGGGCAGAGTTACATCACTTCAAAAAAAGAAAAGACAACAACAAATGTTTAATGACTAAATTCTTGAGCAAGAGCTGTATAAATATTGTCCTTGGAAAGAACTATCACCTTAATTGAGAAATAATACCTGAGACCACAGGCTTCACAATCTCACTACCTTTAATATCCCCTGAGCAATACACAGCCATAGCATCCCAAACCAGATAACTTTACACTGGAGTACGGGGGAGAAGGGGAATATGCAGGAGCATGTCATTTCACTCCACCCCAATTGACACGGCTGTGAGTTCCACCACTTAAACTTGTGGATGTCTCCCAGATATTGCAAATTTCAAGGGATTCATGTGGTGGCCTCCTGCCTTGCACTGCCTCCCACATTTCCTTATCTCTCCTGGACAGCATGGCTCTTACAGTAGCTATGCTGCAAAGCTCTCCCCTAATTGGCAGTGACTTGTGGAATACCCTGAATGAAAAAGAAGTCAATAGTATAGAGGAAGCAGTGTAAATTACTGCAGGATTTCATTGGTGGTGATGACGAACTGGTGAAAACCTACCAATCTTTCCATCTCTTCTAAACACTGCAGAGCCTGTTTATGTTGGGTGGCAGGCCTCTTTTGTTGACCCACCCTGTTAGAATCCTAAATAAAGCAGCTGAAGTTCAGTGCTAAATGACTATGACAGATACAGCTTCTCAACTCCACCTGGCCTTGTAGGAATGATCTCTTTGAGCAAAAGGAATTAGGACAGAGGAAGGCCTAGATGGATACTCTAGGGACATCCAAGCCAAGGGAGGAAGCTTAGGTTAAAGTTTGTTTTTTGTTTTCTGAGTTTTCTTGAGTTACCTACAAAGCAATATAAAACACGCATGTGCAGATATAGGTATATAAAGTGTGGATCTTATTGCATCCTTAGTCCTAACGGTGCCTTCATTAATCTGACCTCTTATATAGATAATCCTTGTGTCAAGAGGCAGATCTTAAAGATACTGTATCTTTATATGGCTAAAATATTGTTTTTTAATGTCTTGGATTATTTTACATGTGAAATGTTTTGGATCTCATATATATATAATTATATATATAATTTTTT